TCTTGCACACTTGCTAAATGTTAGCAAAAGATTTTTGAAAGGGCAAATAAGTCAGTTTCTGAAATATCAATGCTGACAACTTACCCTCTTTCAGAACTACTATGTAAAAAAATGTTGCCTAAGGAGGCTTTATAAGAAATTTATGTTACTTTATTAACAGGTAAATATTTACTGGAAAGAAATTCAAAATTAAATGCAAGTCTCCAGCATAACAACTTTGCAGCTTTGTCTTGTTTCAGTAATGTCTGTCAAGTACCACAAACAAGGCATGTTTAATTTTAAGGCTGGCAAAACATGCACACTAAATACAAGAAACTGTCAATTTGGAATATAGGTTGTTAAGGGGTGAAGAAAAAACAATTAACTGAATTGGAGATAAGTGACTACAGTAACTCCAATAGATTGTATTTCACTGCATTCACTGAAATAAAAAAAATTGAAATTAAAATTAAAATGAAGTAAACAGATTCCAAAGAGTCACCAATGCTATCAACTTAATGGAAGAAGGAAACAAAGCATCAAAAATCAGTAATAGCAGCTTTCTCTTGGGTTGTTCCATTGCTATATTTCTATAGAAAGACCAGCACTGAATTCTCTTTTTAGATTGAAGGTGACACCAAGCAGCCAATGCACACTAGCACTGGTTTTCGATGCAAGCTGCCAACCATGGGAACTGCTTATATGTAAACAGTAGTAGTAGCAGTAAAATCTTTCTAAGCAAGGCCATATAAAAGTGTCGTATCATTAAACAAGATCTCAACAAAAGGCATTGGCAGCACTGAAATAGCTGGCTTTCTAGATTGAGATGAACTATCTTTGTTTGAATATGTTAATTGCATGGTATATTGGAAAGAGTCCTTTTTTATTTTAGCAAAATGCACACTCCACATTTTTCTTATATGCTGTTATTGGAAGATGGTATTTATCTTTTCTAGCAGTCCAACATTGTTTTGCAGAACAGAACATTGTTAACAATTAAAAATAATGATTAGCTGTAAGTAAAGGGAAGAGTTTTAAAGTATTTTTAGTTGTGACATCTCTTTGGTATGTATTTTTGCACTATGTTTTAGGTCTCAAGTAATAATATAATCATAAAAAGGTAAGACAAGTAATCCTAAATCAATTACATACAGTTCTATCTTCTTGCAATTCCCATCAAATTCTTTCAGTGCACTAAGAATGAATTCAGGAAAATAAATATCCAAGGAGGAATATGGATTTAATTGTTACTGCTGTTACATTGCTAAAAGAAAACAGCTGTAATCACATACTCAGCCATTGTTCAACAAATATTTCTATTAAACATCTCTGCAGTGAAGATGAGTCCAGCTCCCCAAGAGCCAAGCAGACCACTTCCTGGACCACCCATTGCTCCCTAGGTAAAACAATTCCACCAGCTTTTGGCAGGGGAGACACATTGAACACTATGGCAGCTCTGGAACAACTCATATTTGCTCAATGACATATTAAACTAGAACAACCATTCTTTAACATTCAAGTAAATAGAACACAATCTTTTTCAAATCATTAATTTGACCTAATGACAGCAATGTTGTTTTTTTTTTTTTTTTTTTTAAATGGCAATTTCCCAAAAGTAACTTTGACCTTCACAGCACATGGAAGAGAAGTATCAGAAAACCATGGTCAGCTCATTACAGGAGACAAGGGAAAAGCAGGCGCATAGGAAGGTCAGAGGTACAACAGAAGCAGTCATGAAAATAAACTTGCCAGGGTCATACAGCAAATAAACAGTGTGTCAGAGCTGTGAATAAAACCCAGAAGTCCTGACTCTCTGTCTCTGTGCTCCGTTCCCCCTGTCCTAACCAGATTCTCTCTCTCAAAATGACTTTTCAATACAGACAGTCCAGGAGACTGAAGTGCTTCTTTCTATCTATAAAACTGATGTGGCAAAATGTATTTAAAGATTTTCTCCAAACAGTTGTACCAACATTTACTTCATGGTTGGAAAGATTTGGTCAGTAAACATGGTACATTTCCTCCATATCAGTGATCAAAATGTCTGAGTCTTCAGAACTGGGATTTAAGAACTGATGTTGGGGTGTTCACAATAAATATTCAAATTTAAATCTGAGTCACCTTTTACTGGGGTGTTTCCTTCAATTTCTGCCATCGATCAGTCAGCATTTCCTAAACATTACAGTACTAGAGGAGTTGTAAAACCAGAAAACCTTTTCAGGCATGATATTTATAGACATCCAATATTGGCCAAGACCTAAATCACTTTTCTGCTTTAATGAAATAATTTACCTTGCATTTGCCAGAAGGCAAATAGCCACGGAAAGTAGGAATGTTCATACCAATCAATTTTTTTATGTAAAGGAATTATATAATCTATAGTAGTAGAGTACACAAAATATAGTAAAGACTTAATGTTGTGAAATTGTTTCTAATTTCTAACAGTAAATGTGCAGTATTTGGCACAGATGTGTTGTGTGTTTCTTCCAAACAGCTTTTTAGCAAGCTGGTTAAGTAGCTGGTCTTATCTATGACTTAAAGCAACCAGATTTAGGATGGGATCCAAATTACCAAAATAGAAATTTTTCTATAGCATATTAATCAGTTTGCTTAATAACACATTGGTCACCAAATGAAAGTTCTTAGCATTAATTTAATGCTTTATCAGCCTCTTATCATCCATAGATCAAGTCTTCAGGGGTGCCAATTAGAGCAGCTCTCCCATAATCTACAATTATACACATTCAGAAACTGGTCTAAATATATAGGAGGCCTGTTTTAATGTACCTGACTTTATTTGTATTTCAGTGAGAGATCTGTCCATATATTACTTGAACATGGTCTTATTTTTGAAAGTTGGTTTTTTTTTTTATAAATACTTTTTCTTTCTTCTTGGCAAGGACTGCCTTCTGTGGTAGAGGCTTCCCTCTAGTGGACACTTTCTCTAATGTTTTATTTGTAAAGTTTTAGTAAAATAATGGAACAGATGCAGAACGCATCCAGCAACATGAACTTGTTTCCCAATTTAAAATAACTAAATGGAAATCCCTGACAGGACTTAACCCATACCTGTTTCTTGAGAAGATATAAAATTGCTGCTGCATTAACAGCTCCTTCAAACTGTAAGAAAATGTAGAACTGTTTAGCAAACTGACAAGTACATAAACAGCAATGTCCTGTAAAAACTACTTACTGATTCATAGTTCAGGGAATGAATGCAAGGACAAAAGCAGCGTTGTTCTGCATTGACTGGCTGTTGTTTTACCAGTGCTGATATAATTAATCTCCAGTCTCTTTGTGCAGCGTTGTGCAACCTACTGGCTGAACTTTTCACCTGTAAATTTAGAATGTGTTCATAAAAACACCCACAGTAGCACTAATTTTCATAATGTAAATCTCTGACCAACAGCATCTGAGACCACTAACACATCTACTGGAATTTCAAGTAATTGCCCAGTGGCAGTGTATGCACTTACTGTTAGGGCTCAAATAAAGATGTGAGAAGTAGTTTTCCCAGTTTCAGAGGAAGCGGAGGATTCTTGAATCAGCTTTAAGTTTAATGAAAGCATATATTTTGTCCAATGCTAAACTTTTTTATTTCAAGCCTCCGAGAGTTTCCAAGATCTTTTCTTTCCCCACACCAGCTGTTGACCTGACTATTTCTTATGAATCCATTTGGAAAATACTGGAGTGGAAGCCACATGGTGCCCATTTGGCACTTCCATCTATGGGGATTTAAGCAGAATAGAACTATTTCCCCAGTCTAATGAGGGGAATCTCGTTCCAGCTGAACTGCTGTCCACATCATAAAGCAATGTCATAACAATAATCTCTTTGGTTGCCATCCCAGGTTTTTGAACCCAAATTACTACTTTTTAGAAAGCAGTGTCTTATACTAGAAAATAGAAAAGCATGGCTTTTCACAAGATAGGGAGTTCACTTATACCAGATAGAGAAAATGATACAGAATTCATGGAAGGAAGATAATGTTTGTTGTATAAAAATAGAGGCCGAATAGTCTCAAGGCATTAATAATTCCCAAATACTACTTAAGATATCAATGCAAATTGCAAATATGCCCATTAATCCACTTCAAAGACTGCTCCTGCAATATCCCATATTATCAGAAATGATCTAAAGAGCTTCTACAAGATTACAAAGACACGGAGAAAAATCTTCTTTTGTTACTCTGCCCTTCCTCCCCACCTCCACCAAGAAAACACTCATATAGTTGAATTAATAAAATGTACTCAATCTGGTAAGAACATTCTGTAACACGATGTGTGCAAGCTGCCTTTAGCTCATTTTGTTAGTAGGATTAATTTTCAAAAATCTAAGACTTTCATGTTAATCCTAGATAATACTAGGTTTGGTACATTAAAATAATCAGATTACAGTGAATGTCAATGCTATTTGATTTAAAATGTTATGGAGTACAGAACTGGAACTATCGACCTCTCTCCACAAAATGATGACCTGGGTTCACCATGTCTCAACAGATGCAGACCTCTGCTTCAAGTCATTGTGAAAAAGCTGGCTTTGTTTATCCTAATATTAGTTTGCTATAGCAAATAAAAAATAAATATGTGGACTTTTAAAGAAAAATATTATATAAGAAATTGGTATACAAAACTATCTTCCACACGTAGAACACTGAACTGCCACCTGCTACAAGCAATTAGCAGATCTCTGTTTTCAGTTAAAAAATGCTATCCTTGTCGTTTTAACTAATTTGATTCATGCACTTTCCTTTTGCATCTCCCTCATTCTCCATTCTATTTACTCTTGATTGGCTGCAGCAGGACTAATACCCATTTTATTTCTGGTTAATCTAATTAAGTAAAAACCTGGGATTGTGATGTCAGTACATTAGTAGAAGGAAGTAACGCTTCCTCTAGGAAGGATAGCAGTTCTGACCTTGCTGAGAAGCAGGTCATGATCTAACTGCAGGATGAAAATAAAGCAAGACAAGCTGCAATAATAACACCACCTCGTTCTCTGGTAATATAGTTTAAAGTGAGATTATGGCTTGTGGATTGCAGGTAAGAAAGCACGATGGATTCATATTTGGTTATCTAACTGAAGAGAGCTTTTAAGATGGGGGAAGGTTAATTACAGCCAAAAAAAAAAAAAAAAAGCATTTTTAGATATATTGACAAAATTAAAAGCTTTTTTTCTATTCTTACTAAAAAAATTCATCTTTCATAATAGTTTTTATAACAGATGCATGTCTTAAGCTCAATTATTTACCAATGTGACAATCTGTATTTAATGTACTTATGTTTGTGTTTTTTCATTCTGTGCTGATGAAACAACACATACTTATGAATCTCACTGCATCCAACTGTTCTAGCTTGTTGGTTTAATTTTTATCACTTTGTAACTAAGAAATCTGGCTACATCAATAAATGAACAGAAAATGAGAATGAATCCCACTTAAACAACTAATTCCACGAGTATGAGCTCATGATTAAATAAATTCAATGACTTGTATTACAGCTTCGTAGGCTTCTTTATTATAAGAGGATGCTGCTGTACTATTTAGCATGTGCCATGATACAAGTGCTTTTGTGAGCCTGTAAGGTACAGGCAGCATGTTGCTATGGTGATGTGCTCGAACTGAGGCAATTCTTAATGTTCTGTTTATGAACCTTTCAGTAGACCTTACTTTGTTTAGACGTAGTAGAAAACAAACATTACTGTAATGACTTTGTTTTCAAAAAAACTGTCTTAATAAGCCAATTATTAACCAAATAAAAGGTATTAAACTGTGCTGTTGGATTAAGCAACTATCACTATGCATGCCTGTATGCTTCAAGACTTGTTTTGTTCAGAAGTTACATTACCACTGGCAAAGCGTACAGCTGATACCAGTGTAACTGCCAGTATCTCCTGCAAGATTAATAAGGCATAAATAAACTTGATTTGAAAACAATCTCTCATCTGAGCTTTCATTTCACTAACTTCAGACATGAGGGAAACAGTAACTAAAACAGGCAAAAAAGCAGTACTGACATACTAGGTTGTGACTAGTGACTATCAACTGCAAGAATATTCTTGCAAGTTTAACTAGAAACATCAAGGCCAATTAATTTTGAGCACTTGCAGAATGCTTAGAATCTCATCCAGGCTGAACAGTGTGCATTACCTTGTATTACAACCTTCTAATATTTTGGAGTTTATGCTAATTGTCCATTTTATTTAATCCTTAAGTGGATTTATGGACAATTCAGAAGGTGATAATTGATTATCTCATTGCAACTGTTACAAATTTTGCAAGTAATAAACTACTTCTATTCCCTACAGTCCTTTTTCTTTTTTTAAGAACTCATCTCTCCTATGTCCAAAAAAAGCAGGTGTTAACTTCACAGCTCACAACACTTTATTCTATCGCTACCAAATTCGTAGCTCTGTGCTGTCCGTTAGCAAGCCAACAAATGTTTGGTTCTGAAGTTTGTTTTGAAAAATGGAAGGATGCTCAGTTGGTAGCAGAGCGTCATGCATGCGAAGTCTGACTTACAGTCTCAGCAAGAGGGCAGACTACCACCATTACATTAAAACTTTGTGTTTTCCTGGAGTACCTGTCCACTTTGTTGCTAAATAAAAAAAGGTATTGGGAACATGCTGTTCCTGACTTGCTCATCTCAAAGTTAAGTCTACTCATATTGCTTCTCCATGAGTTTCTCTTGCTATTTTCTGCCTTTAAGTGACTAATCTGTAACTTTGAGTATGTTTTAAATCCAAAGCAGGCTATGACTGTGCAGAGGATAGAGGGAAGAGATAAGGTGATTTTCTGTCCTTTCTTTCTGCGCTAGACTGTAAAGCTTTTCTCTTTTTCTCGCCTTTGAATGGCTCCGTCTTCACTCTTAGCTATTTCCTTTTCAGATAAAAGATAAAGACAGTGGCTATAACAAAAACCTGTTCTGCATTCCTAAGCATTATGAAGAAGATATAGAAAGAGTCTTCATTCCTCACGGACTAATCCTGGACAGGTACGAGAACAATAAATAGCAGTGGTATTGATGGCAATGACTAGTTTCCCTCCAAAAGAAAAGATTGCTGCTCTATCCTGTCTGTATAGCCCATAAGAAGTACGGAAACTCTGTGGCTCTAAAAATTAAGTTCTACTCTGGATTTTAATACAAGAGGTGTTTTTTGGAGAGGACTCTTCTATAACTTCAGCTAAGTTTCTGCTATCTCAAATATCTTTAAGCTTTCCATTTCCATGTTATTTACATACGACTTAAATCAGTAGTACGTCAGACAGACATTTGGTGAACTTAACTGCATATATGTAACTAGATTGCCAGGGTCTTAATCTAGTCACAGTTTTGTTATTAAAAAACAAAACCAAAATGGCTGGACATTGCTTAACAAGTGGACAAACAAACAAATATGATGTTCAAAACACTTTACAGAAATTAGGGTTTGGATTTTTTTCTTCCAGGACAGAACGTTTGGCTAGAGATATCATGCAAGATATGGGAAACCACCACATTGTTGCACTCTGTGTCCTTAAAGGAGGCTATAAGTTCTTTGCTGACTTACTGGATCACATAAAAGCACTAAATCAAAATGGTGATAAGTCTGTGCCTATTACTGTGGATTTTGTTAGAATAAAAAGTTACTGTGTAAGTAAGTTTCTTTTCCTTGGAAAATTGATTCTCCTCGTATGTTGCCATTCTGAATACTAAATATTTATAAGGAAGTTCCACAGAAACCAAATTTATCATGTTTAGAGCAACTTCTGTTCTGAAAAGCAGTTCATAAATTGATTTACTGATCTACCCAATGATCAGAAGGATATTGTAAATTTACTGTAATTGGTGTATAGATGGACATTTCATGTGACAAAGTCAGGGTCAGATCTTCAGTGTCCTCCTCTCCAGCCTGCTGTTTCCATAAAGGTTCTATTCTCTTTCAAATGGCAGCCTTTCTTAAGAGGGAGAGTGGAGAGGAGCTTAGCATCAGAGACTTACTTACTTTCTCTAACTGCATTGCTTGCCATTCCTGCAGAGAATTGTTTTGAAATCCATGTACTGGGGAAGGGGAAGCTTGCTCAATCAACCCTGGCTGGTCTGAGCCAAGTGCTGAAAAACAATGACTTACAGCATTTTCTCATTTCACCTTCTCCTCACTTTGAAGGCTTAAGCCCTGTGCACTGATAAAAACGTATCCCATGTTAAATACATCAGTTTATAATATCTTATTTCATAAAATTCTAAAACAAATTGGCAGTAACAAAAATAGCTGAAAGCTACTTGGTACCTATTCTGGGACATGAATATATTTTTGTTCAGAAGCATTCTGTGCAAACATGACAGCATTGATATTTCACGTCCTTGTTCTCAACTACGTAAAAGCTCTCTTACTGAAGCAGTGCTGTGTACAGTTGCAAGTGCCATTTCACAGGTGAACAGCCAAAGCAGCACACATTACATAAATGCAATGCAGTACTTTTGAGTATATTTTGTGTCAATTTCCCTTTCTCCTTCTAGAACGATTCACCCACAGAGAAAATCAGTATTGTTGGAGAACTGTCTGCATTAAATGGGAAGGTATGACTGAGGAACTTCAGTTTTAAGGAGAAAGAGCAGTTCTTATGTATCCTCCAGGAAGTCTACCCTTAAGATTTTGGTACTATACAAATAAGTTTTAATAATAATGATAATAATAATAATGATTCACACTTTTAAACAGTAATTCCCAGTAACTCAGTAGAAACTTAACGTGATCAGCACTGAAATACTTCTAAAGTCCTGTTCCATTTCTTCCCACAACCTACAGAAATGAACCATCTTAAACTGATGCATGCAATATATTCTCAGAGTGTTCTTCCTATACACATGATACTATACAAGACCTGATAGTTTTCCCAATATTTTATCCTTCTGTACACAATTTCAGAAGAACTCTTAAGAAAGCAATAAAATCCGAGTATTTAAGTAATTCTAAGTAGCCAAGTGACAAGCTCCTTTGAAAACTGATTACAACTTACATGTGAGTGAAGTTTTAATACAAACTTTTTTTTTTTTTTTGGCTGTTTAATTTGCTGAAGCTCTTCGTGTAAATAAAATACTTCTTTTTCTTTCCTTCCCTATGTGGTTCTTTTTCTAGAATGTGCTAGTAGTAGAGGTGAGTAATGACCTCTTATTTTTGGGAGGGGGGAAGGGAAGGTGTTGTTCTACCTACTTCGCAAGGTTAATATTAATTACATTTAAAACAACACTTAGCTAAAGTATGCATATCATCTTAATGCATGCTAGAGCTGCTGTTTTTTCTGCTTTACGTTAATATACTGAAAATATGTTTTTTCTTTCAGAGTTGAATGATTTTTTTTTATTATTATTTCTTTGAGGATATTATTGAGACTGGTAGAACAATGAAGGCACTGCTTTCAAAACTGAAGGACAATGAACCAAAGATGATAAAAGTAGTAAGGTATAACCACATGGTTATTCATTAATGTGTGGTAATAAGATATAGGAAAATCACTGGTGAATTATCAAGATATGCACAAACATATTGTTAAAATAATAAAAAAGTTTCATGGCTTTTGCTTAGTCTATAAAGTCTGATGTATTATATTTATGTTCAAAAGAAAACAGCTCTTTCCATAGGTTTCCTAACACCTTTTCAGCTGCCTCAATACTAGAATGATAACAAGACTTATTGCCCCTCCTCGATATCCATCCTTAATTATCTGAGTTTGTAAAATCTAAGAGTTTGTCAGCAATTATGAAATGACTTCAAGAGGCATTCTAGACCTGCTTTTGGTTGGTATCTAAAAGGAATTATGTGGGAATATCCATGTAGACCAACTTCTGGGGTCTAACGTACCAGTTATGCTCCCTGCAGCAACCTTCCAGGTTCCCAGCATCTTCAGAAGCGTACAGGAAAATAAGGGATGGATATGACTTTATGGCAGGAATTGGAGTAACAACTCACAGCTTGTATTTGTCTCTATTCTCTCTCCCCTAAAACCTTTAAATGCTGCTTGAATTTCCCCATCTATCAGTACTTCCCTACTTTGTTGATGCATAACTATATGGAGGGAGGAACAAATGATTTGCAGTACAAAACTGAAAAGCTTTCAGTGTAAAGCAATAAATACCATTTGGACTTTTTGAATGATCCTAGATTCAAGGCTTCGTTTATTTCTTTATTATAATGCTGAAAACTACTACTAAATCTGTTAAAATAAAGCAATAAAATTATTTTAACTGCATTACTATAGAAGCTTACTCGGGAAGGGAGGGAGAAGTGAAGAACAGAGCTTGGAGTATGACATTTTAAAAGTCTTAACCTTTACTCCTCTTTATTATAGCTTGCTCATTAAACTGACAAACCGAAGTCCAGGTTACAGACCAGACTGTAAGTACTGCATTTGGTTGTCCAAAATAGGATTTCATTTCATGTATATGAAAACTAGTATGTAAGTTTCAGGAAGGTTAAAAGAAATAGGGAGAAAATATATAAAAGCTTTAAAACTGACAGTCGGTTTTATGCTTCATAAGTACATTTAAATGTATTCTATGAAAAAATATACGTATAACATTAACTGATAAAGATGGCATAGATTCTAACGTTGATCATCAATTTGCAGCTCTGACTCTTCAATGTTAAGCATTCTAAGTACCTTGAAAGCAAGATTAAATATTTCTTAGTATTATGCTTAAACAGATGAACCATATGTTGAATGCAAACTGCGGACCTAAAAGATATTTCTACTACCTAAATCAAAAAAGACCTGTGGTGTGTGTTTGTTTTACAGATATAGGTTTTGAAATTCCAGATAAGTTTGTGGTTGGATATGCCCTTGACTATAATGAGTACTTCAGAGATCTGAATGTAAGTATATATAAATGTGCCTTGACTGTTACATGCTTGTTAGTTACCTGTGGTAACAGTAATGAATATTACCTTATAGTAGGTGCTTCTGGACGACTAACAGAACTTCAAATTTGACTAGATACTTTCATGAAAAGGGCAAAAACAATATGATCAGATGATAACTTAAATGCAGGACTACTAGTCCATGTCTTACCTGTCTGTGAATCTGCTTCACAAGCCTAGTAGCTCAGCCTTGCCACACAGTATCCTGAATCCTCCAGGATGGTTGGCAGCATACTCTGCACACTGCATCTAAAAAGAAATTAATTTGTGATTTGGTATTGATTTCATGTTTCTTTGTGAAATTCTATGCTGTTTTTCTCTAGTAAAATATTCAAAACTGGCAGTAGACTGGCTTATGTATGAAGGTGTTTCCTATGCTGCTGAATGTGTCAATCAGGACTTCAACTCCTTGGTTCTGCTATAGTCTCCTTAGGCTGCACTGAGTTGTAGATATACTTAGACTCTGAGAGTGAGAGATTATTTTCTTTTCCCCTTAACAGTTTTTATAAGCATTTACATAAATCTGTTTAGATGGAAAAGTGTCTCACTTGAAAGTCTTTAATATGACAAACCAGTTCCGTTACAGACACAGTGAGATATTGCAAAACAGTGTAACGGACATTTCACAGCAAGCATAGTGTAACTCAACTTGCAAAATGTTATGTTCTAGTTCCAACAGGAGAATGCAAGTAGGAATGTAACTTAAAATACTCTTTAAATTACCTTTGAAGGTTAAGTTTCACTTAAGCTGCATTTTTTTTCTCTTTTTTTTGTTTTGTTTTGGTTGTGTTTTTTTTTTTTTTGTTTGTTTGTTTTTTTTTAGCACATTTGCATTCTCAAAGAGAAAGCCAAAGAGAAATACAAAATCTGACATCATCAGTCTTCTGGACTAACAGCTCACCAGCCTGTACTGCGTGTGTGAAGAAGTGATCTACTAGCCATGCTCATTTTACTGAAGCACTACTCTGAGGAATGAATGCATTTCTAAAGACAAACTTCTGCATGTTTTTTTTTTTTCCTATAATTTTGTGATTAAGGATGAATGACACCTTTCAGGTGTTTCAATGGAATGAGAACATAACAGTGGTCATAAACTTGATATCAGAACAAAATGGATACAGAAAGGCTGTGCATGTAAATATGTCTGAGTTTTTATTTACTGTAAGAAATAACACGGGTATTGTACATAAGCTACAAATTTAAGTATGTAAACATTTGTGAGTAGTTAAACAGGCTAAACAACAGAGAAAAAAGTAATCATCCACATAATTAGTGTGAATTACCACTCATCATCTCCAGTGCCATGGACTGGGGGGAGAGTCTGGGGCTTTATTTGCTTTTCCTATGGTTCAGGTGTTTCTCGTGCTGCTTTGCTGCATCTTCCCTGAGCTGCGGTGAGCAATGACATTCATTGTTAAGCGTTTATGCCAAGCCAGTATTGCTTCAACGAGCCACCTTCACCCCTCGCCTTTCCATAAGCGCACTCCACGCGCAGCTCCTCGTCCCGCGCAGCGCCCCGCCCCTCAGGGTGCCGCCTTTCCCCTCAGGGGGAGGAGCCTGCAGCGCAGCGTTTGGGGGACGATGCCGACTCGTTCCGAGACTTTCTGCTTTCCCAGCTGACACCTAGCGCTACCCTTCCCCGCTTGCTGGCGTGCGGGAAGGCTGCGATGGCTCGTTTGCTCCCCCGGGCTGCTCCGTGCCTGACTGGCTGAAGCCTCTCCACGGCAGCCGCCTCAACGCCGCTGGGCGGGAAGCGGGAAGGCCGCTGCCGCCTCACCTGCGACCCCCGCCTTGCTCTGTCTGCCCGCCAATCAGAATGCGGATCTCGGTGAGCTCGCGTGTTGATTGGAGGGAGCCGTCGTCAGTCTGCAAGAGAGGGCGGTGAGAGGCGAGGGGAAAAGTCGTGCTCGCGTCGCAGGTGGCAAAGATGGCGGCAGCGGAGCAGGAGGACGGGCGGGAAGGGGAGCGGTCCTCCCGGCTCGGGTAAACCGCGGCTTGACGGACGGCGGAAGGAAGAATGGGGCCGGCCGCCGCCTTCCTGGGCCCGCTGCAGAGGAAGGCGGCGCCGCGCGCGTTCTCCGCTGAGTGCCGGCCGCGGTGGGGCCCGCTCATCTCGTTGGCGGGACGAGCTGAGGGCCGGACCGCGGCCCTCACCTTCCGTGCCCCGCTGCGTTCCCACGGGCCGCATACAGCGCGGGGCGCCGCAGCTCTTGTTCCGTTTCCTTCCAGAGAGAGTATAAAAGAGAAAGCGAAACTCCGCTTGAGGGAGTGCGATGTTGGGGACAAGTTCTCCCATCTGCCTCTGCGCAAGGCCTCGGTGCTGCTGCCGCTGCTGCTGCGGGACGGCGTGCTGTGCCTGCTGCTCACCGTGCGCTCCGTGCAGGTGTGTGCGGGCCGGGTCCTGGCGATCTGTGCGGCAGTGAGAGGTGATTTCCGGCTCTGAAATGTTAAAGCAGAACGCAGAGAGTGAATTACGGGGTGTTGTACAAGCGTGTAAAGCTGAGCGCCATCCTGTGTAGCTCTTGACAAGGCTCGTTTCTTTTGTCTGCAGAAACCTCGGGCCTGAGATGGTTCTGTAATGTGAGCTGTGCGAGGTGAAACAAACTTATAATGTGTAACTCCTTTAAATTCCAGCTGAGAAGATCACCTGGGGAGGTGTGTTTTCCAGGAGGTAAAAGGGAAGAAAGGGATAAAGATGAAATTGATACTGCTCTCCGGGAAGCCAAAGAAGAAGTGGGACTGCAGCCGGAGAAGGTGGAAGTCATCTGTAGGCTTGTGCCTGTGATTGATAAAGTAAGCAATAAACTCTGTCAGTGTATTGTTAGAAAGCAAGTAATTTCCTTTCGTATGGTTGGTAATGTCCTTTTCGAACCTGTAACTGTAAATAATCATAGGTTCTTAAAATATACAGCCTGTGCTGCTGGCAGAGTGAGGGGAAGAGATTCTTTTTGGTGTTTGTGAGACCACTTATGAAGTCCACTTGGAGAGTATCCAGAAGACAGTGGTAAATGGCTGAGAGTCTAGCAGAGAGCCAAGGAGATGCTAAGTGGGCTGGAGAATGTGAAGTAGGAGTAGAGGCTGAGAGAAGTGGGTTGGCTCAGCTTGAAGTTAGTGGGGGATCTCATTGCCATCTTCAAGCACCTGCTGAGTGGTTATAGAGAAGATGACACTAGACTTGTCTTGACACAATGGACACAAGCAGCAACAGGTGCTCACCATGCAGTTAGACAAGCAGTGGAATAGATTGCCTTGACTTTTAGGAAACTGGCAGGATTTATTCAGGCACAGCTCTGAGCGCTGTGATGTAACCTCAGAGTTACCTGATTCAACAATGTGCTCAGAGCAGGATTAATTTAGATTGAAAGGGACCTCTGGAGGTTGTGTAGAATGATTCTGTATGGAAATTAAGATGTTATTGGCATTGAAGTCATTGTGTGTAAAATAACAGGCTGCCAATTTCAATAGTGATATTTAGTATTGTGTGGGACCAGTTTTCCAATAGAGGGGAAAATTATTCAAAAGTCTTGATATTTGTTCATCAGGTAAGTTTTCTTATTAATGCGTCAACAATCAGTTTCTGTTAGCTGCTTACTTTCAACAGTATGCTCCTCACATTTGAAAAAATATTAAAATTGCATTGCAAAATGCTTTAGTTAACTTTTTTTAATACAAATAACATAAAAACCACGTACTTCAGAGGCTATATGTAAAAAGGATCACTTCAGTTTTCAGGTTATGTGGTTTTGGACTGCAGAAGTCTGGGCGCTTAGATTGTGCTATGTTTTCTCTACACATACATTCAAAGCAATTTAATTTAAACGGAGTCCCTCCAGACTTCCATCAAATAACACAGACGTTGAGCTTTGCCATCAGTGCTTCCTGTTGAGCAGGGATGCTTTACTGTTACTAATAAATAGAATTAGTAATAGGTCTGAAAGAATTACGGTATGCTGTTCGTACAAGTTACTATTTTAAATAAATTGCCCCTGCCTTTGAAAGAGGGGGTGAATGTAAACAACCAGCTCCAAAAAAAAGTGCATATATCTTCTAGTTAAGATTGTTTCCTGTGCTCCTTTTGTAACATCTGAAATGTTTTTAAAATAAAGGAATTACTTTTGCTTGGTTCAAGCTTAGTGTTTGTTTTCTGTCTTTTTTTTTTTCTTCTTCTTGTTCTTCTAGATGAATCATTTGATAACACCAGTTGTAGGATTTATAGAGGATACCTTCCAGGCCTCTCCTAATCCAGATGAAGTGAGCGATGTTTTTGTTGTGCCACTGGAGTACTTCATCAAGCCCTTAAATTACATGGCCTTGCCGTATAAAAACTCATCTGGTTACTTAAGCTGGATGCACTGCTTTACATATGATGACCACGAACGTAAAAAGTCATTCAAGATATGGGGACTTACTGCACATTTTGCTGTATTTCTTGCTATTGTAATTTTTAGGACAAAACCCACCTTTGAAGTTCATTATGATCTTGACAACTTAATTGCATCTGCTGAGAATGGTTTTATGAACTTGTATGCATCCATAAAGGAAAGAAAGAAGAGTAGTCTATAACAGGCTGGTCTGATGGTCTCTGTTGAAGGAGGAAAAAGGTTTGGGCTTGTTTTCTTTGTATCCATTACTTGATTGAATTTCACATTTGCATTCCTGCTGAATTGGAAAACTTTTTTTAATAAAACCGAGCTGTCGATCACTAACTAGATTCATAAATTTTACCTGGTTTTGAGTTATCAAAAGCACACAGTACTTTTTTTATCATACAGATTTAGAAGGTCAGGTTCAGTTTCTGCTTTTGTTTTGTGTGATTTGAGGCTGACTTTCTGTGCCTTTCTTCCATTTAATGAAATAAAACTTTTGATTTTTGCCTGTTTGAAATAGAACATAAAAACTTTTTGGAATCTGTCCACATCTTACTATATGCCATATTGCATATCTTCAATGCATACACTATTGTTTGCTATCTTTAACCACTTGAAAAAATGCATAATAAAAATATGAAAGTTGGCAACTGCTTTTACAGTTTGTTTTGTTTTGTTTGGGGCTGTGGAGGGAGGGAAGGAGAAGGTTCAATGAGTTTTATATCTCTTGCCCTATTTAATACTTCTCCCTGAATTTCTCTAGGCCACGGAAAGCTTAGTGTACATGTAATGGAACTGAACTTTGCTCCTCAGCATCATTAATATCATTCTCTCAGCTCCAACAATCACTTTAAGGAGAGAAGAGTGTTATTCAGCATTCATGAAATCTTATAATGCTCATCTGTGGTTGAATCTGTCCCAATAGCACTGGCATTCTTTGCACAGTGAATCCTTATTGACTAGCTGCTATTGAACTAGAAGCTTATTTATAGTGGTCACAGCATTGTAGGCAAAAGGTTAATTTTTAAAAAGTGAGTTTGTCTGCAGTTGGGAAGTTAACAGGTTGCCAGTTTGTAAATTGTAGATCTTTGAGCAGCAGGGATGAAACTCCTGGAGAAGTAGTAGCTGGGTTTTGAAAGAACAGTTTCTATTTGTCACTGTTAAACACCTGTGAAATTATTGAAGCATTTGTAAAAAAAGAAAACAGTGCAACTTTAAGCACTTGATCTTACTTGTATGAAGTTTCTCTCAATTCTAGTGTACGTAGGAACAGAAAATAATTCAAATGAGAACGTTGTTAACTAAAATAGGGCAAACCAATTGGACCTTTGATTAGTAAAGAGGTACTGTGAGCCATAATTACTAAATTACTAAATTCTCAGCAGAATTATTTTCTTTCATCCCTTAATGGAATCAGCTGCAGAAATTGTACAAATGGTACGAATTCAAACTGCACTTTGTTTTTATTTCTCTTTTCTTAATGTGTGGAACTGTAAGAACAGGAACAACAGTTACAGCTGTTACTCCTGTAGATATTGAGTCAAAACATTTGAACTAATAGAAAAATGGGGTTCACAGAGGTCCACACAACCAAAAGTCCTTGAGTGATCTGTTCTAAAGCCACTAGAATTAATGCTTTTCATTCTACGTAATTTTATTGACACTAATTTTGAAATTTGGGAAGTTCCTTTAACTAAAAAAATTCTCCAGACAACCATCTGGCATCTGAGTTCCCAAACACCCCCTTTGAGCACAAAAACAATAGAAGGAAACAATTGCCTGCACTACAGCTGCAATTCTGCAAGTTTCACAGTAGCTAATGTGAGA